AAGGTGTGAGAAGACATCCCCAGAGAAGCAGAGACGGAGAAAGAAAGCAGCTGAGACACCTTAGTGCCGGGTAGAGGTCTAGAGGGAGGGTCTCCAGCCTTACCCTGGAATCTTAAAGCTCCTCTATCCTGGTCCATTCTCCAGGAGTCTCAGCCATTGCAGGGGTCCTGCATCTGGACTCCTGCGAGCTCTCCATCTTCCTTATTACCGCGTGGATCCTAACACTAACCCCCACTTCACTTGAGATAACCTGAGGATATTACTTTTCTTTTCTGTAAATTTTTATTTTGATACCAAGCCACTCAGCAAGCCATCAAGAAAGACAACGTTTCAGAAAACCAACAAAAACCAGAAACAAGGATCTAGGCATCAAACCACCAACCAACCAATTATCCCCCCAAACCCTGCTGTTGCAAAAAGGATAGGAAGCCAAAAATCCCCACAGCCCATTAGAAAATACCTTTAAAATCAAACAGAAAGAATCCATAAAGTTAGGGTTTTCACTACAGTGGGTGGACAGACAATAAAATTCAGCTTATTTGGACTGGGAATATCGTGAGCTTTCTCCTGTTCTAGCAGAAGAAATAAAAACAAACAGGAGCTGCTGGAGTTACTATTAAAATTGTCCTTACCACCTGAAGATAGGGTGAGAGTAAGGGACAGAATGTGAACCAAAGGGAGCAAAGACAATTGGTCTTGAAATTTAGGCTCTATCTGTAACCAACAAACTTTGTCCAACACAATCTTCCCACAGCCTTATTGTCCTTCACATCCTTTTCCAAACCTAGCAGTACTTGGATGAAGTATTTAGAATGAACGTCTCAACTCTCATGCCTTCTTCCACCTTTCTCTATGTGCTTCATTTGTGGGGAAGGGCTCCAAGTGCAGAGGGAAGTGGGGTTTGTTTTGTTTTTGTTTTTTTAATTACTCCAGTTAAGGTGGAGTGAACCAAGCTCACAAAGAGAAAGAAAGCCTACAGAAACCAGAACTTATTAACTGTAAAGGAATGTACCTAAACTGGGTGCTTTGAAAAGGCATTTCTGAAATGACATCCATTTTGTTAAGGGAGCAGAGCAGTAATAGTGTTTAATAATGATGTCCAGGGCTGACATTTAGCAGGTTCCCATGCTCTTAGCCCTGCCAGTTGTCTGTTATGGCTGGCACCATTTCTGACTGGTCGTTGCCACCGCTCAAACAATAGGTACATATTCTGAATATCACTCTTGGTGATGTCACGGTTTCTGTATCCATTATGTGAAAGGAGTCTTAGAAAAAAATTTCATCTGGGTAGACAGATTTGTGTATACAAGTAGGTACTCATATATTGTTCACAGGTATTTGCTAAGTGTTTTGCTAATGAACTCGTAGCAACAACCAGAGTTTCAGTTTCTACAATGATTTCTTTCCCTTCCCCTCTTACCATAGATAGACAAATATATATATATATATATATCTCCTGGACCTCTTGTCTGTTACCCAGGTTTGCTTGCACCTCTCTACCTCCCATGCGTGCCTTGTGGCCCAGCTGGGTAGATCTACTTGCTAGCTTCCCAGTCTGCCTGAATATTTGGCTGCTTTTGTGCTTTTGGTTGTGTCTGACCTTGGAAGGCTCCCATGCTCTCCCAAAATAACATAGTAATTAAACTCAAAGCCCACCTCTAATCCTACCTCTTCTTGTGGCCTTCCCTAAGATACCAACTAAAGTCAACACTCTGTTAGTCTTCTAGTACTTATTAGGTCTACTACTACTTACTGATGATTTGTTGTTTGGGAATATTTTAGCTTATTACATAATGGTATTAATAGCTATTTTCATGTGCATATGTGAAACCTACTCATTTAAAGTGCAAACTCATTGAAATTGTTAAAATGGACCCTAACACTTAGAACTCCAACTGGCATAAAGTAGATGGATTGTTATCCTAAGCTTGCAAGCGACATTTGGATGCACTGAACTTTCCCTAGCAATCAGAATGCGAGCTCAGAGCTCAGTCTGCAGCAATCAGGGGGCCTGTAGGATTAAGTTTTGTCAAGATCAATGCCGTAACTTTCACATTGACATTCTGTTTTCCTTCCAAAAAGTCCCAGAAAGCCAAGGAAGGCTGTAGCTATAGAGGAGAGGGAATAACTTGGAAAACTGTTCAGTACCAGGATCTCCTTAGGGTGCCATTATGGGATTGTCATGGGAAGGCGAGGACAGGAGAGAAGGGCAGGAAGAGGCGTCACCACAAAGGAGATGGGAGCAGGCCTTCTTTATAATTTTGCAAAGCCTTCTTGATGTGGTGCCTTCAAAAATGAAATACTTAATAACAAAACCTAATTATTGTTTGAATTATGAAGTGAACTAGGAGCACAGCTGTGGTAGACAGAATAGTGGCCCCCAAAGATGTCCACTTCCTCATATCTGGGACCTACAAATATGTTATCTTATGTGGCAAAGGGACTTTGCAGATGTGACCAGGGTGAGGATTTTGAGATGGGGAGATTACCCTGGATGATCCCAGCTGGGCTCAATGTAACCACGAGTCCTTATAAGTGAAAGGAGGACAGTCAGAGTTATGCTGCTGGTTTTGAAGATGGAGAAAGAGGCCATGTACTCCTAGTTAGAACAGGAGTACATTTGCAGAACTGTGAAATACAGTCACTATTTCACACTGATGAGAATTATTATTGTCAATTAAAGTCTCCTCTCTCCTCTCAGAAAAGTATACAAACTCTCACCTTTACCTCTGATCTTGTCAATGTCTTCTGGGATATTGTCTAGTTCTGGCTGCTGTAACAAAATATCACAGATTGGTACTAAAGTGGCTTAAACAACAGCCATTTATTTCTCATACTTCCAGAGACTGGGCAGTCCAAGATCAAGGTGCCCACAGAGGGGGTGTCCATTGAGGACCCTCTTCCTGGTTTGCAGATGGCTGCTGTCTCGCTGTGTCGTCACATGGCAGAGAGATCTCTTGCCTCTTCTTATAAAGGCCCTAAAACCTATTCATGACCTTTTACCTCCCAACAGTACTTTTGCTATCACATTGGGGACTAGGGCTTCAACATACGAATTGGGGTGGGGGGACACGAACATTCAGTCCATAGCAGATATGGTGAGACTTAAGTACAAAATGTTTTCCTTTAACTCTTATGATTTTTAGTAACATAGCCAAAAATAATTGAAAGATAGAAAATCAGTTAGCTCTGCGGTATTGGAGTACTCGCTGGGCTGCCCCTCCTGTGTTTACCTGGCACAACCTGGGCTAATGGAAAAGCAGTTTCCCCCCTCCAAGAAGTGTGAAGTCTGGGAAAAGAGATGAAGAGTCTCAGAAAGCAGAGCAGCATCAATACTGAGCAAGAGCCAAGCTCAGAAAGAGGAAATGTGTTGTCTATGGAACCAACTTTGCAAATGCAAACACTAGCAAACCCAAGCAATGTCACAAATGCTCCTCAACAGCTGGATGTCTTCAATGTTTAAACTAGTAATAAACATCCAGGGTATCTTTGGAACACGATTTGTCTGTAAATATTCATACATCTATTTAATAGAACCACAGGGATTAGTTAACAACAAAAAAATTACCTACGAACCATCAACTTTCACTCCTCCAAGAGGGTCGCAATCCACACATTAATCTGTTAGGGGGGAAAAAGACAAAACATTTCCCTCTGACCGTGGTGAGAATCAGTAATTGCAGGGTTCCCAGGAAGATTCTGAGAATCCCCTGGATACAGAAGTATTTGGGCTGCAGTTTTCCAAATCTGTTAAATGTGAGACGGATGGAGGAAATGATTTTTTTTTACCCACCATTCTAAAAGTTCATGAACTTTCAAAGGGATACAGGAACCAACCTGAAAGAGATCCCAGTGGTCAAAGCTAGAACAATTTAAACAACAAAATAAATAGTATACTATTGAATTGTAGCCCAAAGTATAAAATAAATATACACGAGTCCATGCAGATATAAATAAATGATTGGATAGATAAACAAATTGGAGAGTCAGAACAAATCTTCCTTGCAGACTGATTCCAAATAATCATATGAAGATACTTCCGCCTCTAGGGGTGAAGTTTAATTGACTGACTGCCATTCAACAAAGGGAACATGGAAAGAGAAAAATAGCAACTTTGCAGAAGAGAAAAGTGGCAGAGACTACTTTAACTAAGGGAACGAGATCGGTATCCGTCAAGTTGCTACCAAGTACTCCCAGAGAGGGTGTTAGGAGAAGGACACTTCACCACTGCCACCTTCCTCCACCCAAACCCATAACCACCGTCTAATCATGAAAACATTGGACAAAACCAAGCGAGGGACAGCCTATTTCAAGACTAATTCTTAATCAGCATTATTTACAACAGGTCAAGTAACATTTACTGGTGTAACACACTGCACTTGTAAATGAATTACAAACACTCTTCAACTTCTGGAATATATTTAAATTACTATTAAAGTACTACTTATTTATTTAAAAAAAAAAAAAAACTTTAGGGACAAACTTTAAAATTCCTTACAGTTGTCAAAGTCAAGAAAAGACCAAAAAATTGTCACAGAGCAGAGGAGCCCAAGGAGACATGGCACTCAGCACGCTATGGTGTCCCGGATGGGATCCTGGAACAGAAGGACAGTAGCGGACAACCTAGTGCCATCCGCATACAGCCTGGAGTTTAGTTACTAGTAACAGGTCAATGTGAATTTCTTAGTTTTGAAAAATGTACCATGATTGTGTAAGGTGCGGGCCTTAGGTGACCCCTGCTGAAAGGGGTTTAGAGAACTCTCTGTGCTATCTTTGCAACTTTTTGCAAAGTCTAAAATTATTCCAAAATAAAACTTTTATTAAAAACACCCAAAACAAAAGTTTATGAACTTAATGTGCCGACAGAAACTTCTTGCAATGCAGCAGCATAACCCCCCTGAATAGCAGCGCTCCACTGGCAGTCTGCAGGGCCAGCGCTTGGAACTTGTGCCTTGGGCGAGCGCGTCCCATCCCCGGCAGGAGCCGGGTCAAGTCTCCCGGGAGCCGGACTCTGGCCCGGGCGCGCCCCACGGGGCGGAGCCAGACCTGCAGGCGGCGGCGACACCGGCACCGCCCCGGGAGCCGGTCTTGGCCAGGAGGCCCGAGCGCCCGGGGAAGGAGCAGCACCGGGACCCCGCGCGGGCGCAGCGCCCCCAAGGTAGGCGAGCCTGGGAACCCACGGGCCCAGTCCCCGCGGCACGCGCCAGGTCACCCTCGCCAGGTGGGTGGGTGTCCAGGTGCCCTTGGAGCAGGTTTCCCCAGCGGGGCTCAGGACACCAAGGGCATTTCCTGTGTAAGGGTCTCTGAGGGCAAGGATACTTCTCCCTGCAAACCTCTGTTCTGGGCTCGGATTTCCTGGGTGAGAAGTTTCTTTTTCTCTGGAAAGAGAAAGAGCTGCTTTTCCTCCAGAAAAGAACACTTTCTTAACCGGCTCACACCTGATTATTTATTTAGGTTGTTGTTATACTATCCCTTTGCCAGGGTTCCCCGCGATTTCCACTTGCTAATTTCAGGGGCCTTGGAGAAAAGCCTTCGGGAAAACGCTGTCACCTGTTGACTCCAGCGTGATGGCTTGACAGGTCGCTGCGCACCCAATTTTTATGAAGAAAGATGAATGAAGGTGCTTTTCTCACCCTCCGTTCATTCGTGCCGGCTTCTGTAGCTGCAGGTGTAGCGAAAGAACAGCCCATTGCCTGACAGTGTTCTACCCTTTCTGTTGAGTGGCCGCCCTGGAGTTTTGGAGCTGCAAGTTACAGAGCCCTTCCCAGGCAGCCTTCCAAGGAGCAATACTGTCTTAGTAAATGAAGAGTACAGGACAGTGCAAGTGTAGTTTTTTGGATTGGATGTTGACATAGCTGCAAATTTTCAGCCTTTTTCAAAAGGAAAAGAAAAAAAAATAATTAAGTGTAAGGATCAGAACAAGCTACTAGCCCTGAACATAACTGAAGCTGTGTCTGTTCCCCATTATATCATAGTTGTTTTACTTTAGGAATCAAACCTCTTTTATGCTTGGTGTGTGTAGACTAGATGAATGGTCAAAATACAAAAGGGAATTATTCTGCATTTGCAATAGGGAAAAGCTAACCTGTCTTTTTGATTTTACCTAATGCTATTAAATATTCAGCTCTACAGAAGCCTGGTTTTCCAGAAACTTGAGCTGGGCAGGAGTGTCAGGTACCCTGGCAGACACAATTGGTTCCTTTGTTAAGCTGCTACTGGGCTGTCCCCTCAGGCTGCCCCCTGCATTCCCGGTTTGAGAGTGAAGGCCCCTGACAGGAGGAAGTATCCCTGTGTGTGTGGCTCCTCAGCTATTTGCAGAAAAAATAAAAACAGGTTATACTTCCTAGGATTGAGCCAAATGTCATAAGAAGATTCTTATCCTTTGTTATTTACAAAATAAATTGATCTCCTATTTTAACTAGAAAGAAAATTTTGAAATAAATGCACATGCTATTTTGTGAATTAAAAACAGGCACGTTATTTGTTAGCATAGTTATTTACAATGTGCTCAACGGTGGACATGAGTTGTAATCCGAATTTTGGGCAAAGCTAAAAAATGTAACCTAGATTTATACAAAGCTGAAAAATGAGGTATATATTTGTGTGGAATAATAACTAAAAAAGGATAATAATTGAAGATATGAAGGGACTTTAAAAGTCTTTTAAAGTAGTAGTTTCGAATCTTTTGAACTGAGATATTTACATCAAAATTATATGACTCTTTATGGATTGAAAACATTTCATGATGGCAAAATTTTACTATGAATTTGATAACATGTTTAAATGAATTTCACTTTACTAAGCACAAAAAGTCATTTACATAGGCGTGCACACACATGTGTAAGCATGTGTGTATATACATTCAGTTTTAGAAAATATGTGGTGCATCTGTAAATTTTGTGGGCTTAATCATGCATTCATTGAACCAATATTTATTGAGTGCCTATTGCACAAGGCACTGTGTTCTGTGTTGGAGATACAGGGTGTTACAGCCCTGTGTAGATAAGACACATTCCTGTCCTCTGGGAATTTATACAACACTGGAGTCCTCCCTCCAGGGCATCCAAGACCATAGATTAGGAACCACATTGTGGACCCATCCATCAATTTTGATAGTGCCTGAAACTAGATTAGTTTCGCATCACATAGTCCCTTACGCTGATTTAACTAGTCAAATCTAAAAATTATTACATGTTATTCTGGTCAGCGGTTTTCTCTTTTGTTTAGGTTGAGGAAGAATTTAGGAATCATGTGTTTTGGGTTTAATATTGTAAAATATTAAACCTAAAATAGCTAAGTATCAATTTCATGCAAATTAAATTCAAACTAAGCCTGTAGCACGGATGGCAATAATCTAGGGGGGGAAAAATCAATGACTGAAAAATTTAACATTGAGAAAATCTAGCCATCAATTTTTTTCCTGTAAATTAGAAAAATATGACAATTATATTTTTTCTCCAGAAGTAAAAGTCATCTTTATTCAAGTTATTCTTACTTTTTATTCTGTTTTTTAAAAAGCTTTATTGGAGCTATAATTTACATGCCATAAAATACATGCAAAGGTACAATTCAATGATTTTTAGTAAATTTATGGAATATGCAACTTTCAAATCACCACAATTCAATTTGAGATCATTTCGTCACTCCCAAAACATCTCTGGTTCCTGTTTGTAGTCACTCTCCATTTCTATCCCGAGCCCTAGGCAACCACTAATCTACTTTCTGTCTCCTTAGATTTGCCTTTTTGGTACATTTTATACAGATAAAATCATACTGTATATGGTCTTTAACATCTGGCTTCTTTCACTTAGAATAACGTTTTTGAGGTTCGTTCAGGTTGTAGCATGTATATGTAGTTGGTTCATTCTTATTAGTAATGACTACTTACTCCTTTCCATGGTTATACCACATTTTGTCCACCATTTGCTGGACATTTCTGTAATTACATTTAAATGGTAAGACGGATGCATTGGTCTGACAGATACATTAGTCCAGCTTCCATGGTAGCATAATTTGAAAATAACGATATGAGCTAACCTCTTATTTGATGTCTCGATTCTCCTCTATGATAATTTTAAAGATTAATGTCAAGAGTCAAATATCCAGGGTCCTCTTAAGCAGTGGTGTTTTCTGTAACTGTCTAGAGAAAAAGCCAAATAAGAACTTCCCAACACTGTAGGAGCATCGATTTTTGGTACACTTCTATTAGGAATCAGGAACCTTGAACAGCAATTCCCAGTCAGAATTGTTCTTTCATACACCTCCATCGACCCTGCTCTGTGATAACTATTATGGCAAATGCATTTTGGGCTAGGGGCATGCTTGACAACTTATGCTTGATTAAGAGGTCCTCTAGTTGAGAGAAACCCTTCCATGAAAATCTGACAGGTTCCGTGAGCCTCAGGAGAAGGCAGTGTCTCTCTGAGTGCCATTAAGTCAAATTGTGAGTTCCTTTTGGGGCCAAAAAAAGAGCATTATTAGAACTTGAAGTCTATTTTATTGGCAAGTTAGAATGCACAAGATTTTTTTAAACATCTAAAATTTGAAAACTAGATGACCTAGGTTAAATAATACAGTTTTCCAAAGCTGAATGTGTTCATATGCAACTCAGTTTTTCTGCTTGAAACCTCAAAACAACTTCCTAAAACTCTTAGGAGTGTGTGATTTGATTAAGTGATCAATCTTGGTTGGTAAATAAGCCTTTTTTTCCTTGGTAGGGGTTTAAAAAGTTCTAAAACAGATGCAGTTTTCTAGTCTTACACCAACAATTTCATTCCAAGTATCTCCTGTGTGGCATTCACTTTACACAGGAATCCATCTTTCATCCTTTTCACTCTCATGTAGTTCAGGATCAGGGTGGAGACATTCAACATGCTCTGTCCATTTACCAAGAGAGAGAACCTTGATTGGCAATGAGCTCCTTTATGTTGTCCTGATCTGGTACAAGGAACTTGGTTTTACCCAAGGTGGGAAGCTGCCTCTTTCCTTGTTTCTTTCATCATACTGAGTGTTAGGTTTTATTGTTTATTCTTGTAGCATCAACAGTTCTACCTACCTATCTGCCTATCAGCCATCCATTTTCCTGCTTTTTAACAATCCTAATTCCATTGCTATTTTTTACCATTTAGATTTAGATTTTTTTTTCGGGTCAGCAGTTTGAGTGAAGGAAAATGAATCCAGTTAATTGTGGCTTTCGGTTAGTTCAGAGGATTCTTAGATTTTGAAATCTTAATTGTACTTTGCTTTTTCTAGGATACTGCTGGATTACTATTTTTAAAATACAAGCATACAAATTCATCCTTTTGTTAGTGTAGAGTACTGTAAGTCCTGGCAAATGGTTATCGTCATGGAACCATCAACCAGCATCAAGATATAGAGCCCCCCCCCCAGTCCCTTGTGTCCCTTTTGTAGCCAGCCTCTCCCCCAACTCCCAGTACCAACCAACCACTCATCTGCTTTTGGTCTCTATAGTTTTGACTTTTCTAGAATGCCAAATAGATGGAATCAGAGAGTATGTAGCCGGTTGAACTTGGCTGTTTTCGGTCAGCATGATACATTCGAGATGCATCTATGTTGTTATGTGTATCACGCATTCATTTTTACTGCCAAGTAGCGCTCACCTGTTGGGGAACATTTGAATTGTTTCCAGTGTTCAACAATTACGAACATTTGCGTGCAGGTTTTTATGGAACATAAATTTTCATTTCACTTGGATAAATACCAAGGGGTGGGATTTCTGGGCTGTACAGTATGTGTGTAACCTCGCAGGAAACTGCCAAACTGTGTCCAAAGTGGCTGCAAATTTTGCATTCCACTCGCAATGGACAGGAGTTCCAGCTATTCCACATCCTCATCAGCACTTGGTATTGTTTTTTTGGTTTTTTTTTTTGTTTTTTACCTTCTGTTGGAAGGTAAAAAATTTACTTTAAAATGAAGTAAATTATGTTGAAGGTAAAATACTCTAGGATGAGTTTGGAAGGCTATAGATACTTTGTAAATTTGTGAGCTGTCTAATCATAAAATATTTTATAGAGCCACAAATGAAATTTTCTAAAATTTAACCATTAACCATGTAACATTAACCATGTAAATGTTACAAGTGACTGTGACATATGTCATTGACATTGGCGTCTTTCCACATTTTCTTCACAGGCAAGTCATATCTGACTGTGGGGTGATTTGTTAATGGGGAAGTTCAAAGCAGGAGGAATAATTGGCTGA